AGGCTATAAATCCAAATGGACTGGACTGAATAACCAAAAAGGATACGAATATTATCCTTTATATTACTTTTTTCTTCTATATTGGGGAAATTATTGGAGAATATTCTCACAGAGACGTTCCTGGGGATGTAGGGATATATCACTGTTGCGAATAATGCGAACAAAACAGCAGACTCAGCAATGTATGAATTATATTGGTTGGTATTTCATACTATTTATTTTTTGCTTGTTCTGAAACGCTGAATTTTACTAACATCATTTTCAGTTTTGTGGGACCTTCAGAAATGCTCAATGTCCAGGCCACAGAGAACATATATTAGTTATTGTTGCCTATCCAAAGATAACTTTGAACTTAACCTTGCTTTCCAGGTTATTCTAAGGTTCTTGCAAGCTTCAGTACTCATCTCTTCATTACGACAGCAAGAATCGTGAAAAGACCACCAGTTTTGTTGTTAGTACAGAACAACTTCAATACAATCCTGACAATCTTGAGTAACTATGGGGTCGTATATATATATATATATATATATTTGCATTTTTTTATTCGTTTGGAATTGAATTTTTCTCTATTAGCGTAGGTGCGCCAATTGATATCACTTATTTAGTTTTCTCGTTACTTCAGCATCTCCGCTCTCTCTCACTATCCGTTTCTCGGTAATTAATCCTATACCTTTATTAATTAAACTTGCTGTTACTCGATTAAAAGTCTCTGCGTGGGCACTCTTGGCTTCTTCATGTCCCCAATTTGCCTCTTTATTAAATTCCTTCCTCGCAAGCTTCGTACTATGAAGCATATTAGTTTCTGATTAGGCCAAGGAGACTGGATGTCTCATTGTTCTCGGTTCCCAATGATTGGGCAAAATCGTGTACTATTAAAAAGATTAGAAACATCGGCATACAGAGTGATTCGAAATAGGGCAGAAATAGTCCAGAACCAAAAGTGTCTTCAAAAATAACACTGACAATTGCTATAAACATTGATCCCATAACGCCCGCTTACCTACAATTACATAACAGTTACATTTTTAACCATGTGGAACTGCGATGCTAGCCAGTGGGTTTTTCGGACAGGGGATAGCAGCTATAGGTTCTCTCAGCCAGAAAAACTGAACACAGTAGTCCTCGTCCCTCGAAATGTGGGATTCTACAGAAATAAAGCATACTCAGTAAAAACCATTGTGCTAAGGGGTCGGCAAGAAGGGTCAAAGTTGACCTAGTTGCCAGGCTTCGCCTCCCCACCACTACTACTGAAACCCCTTAGTCGTTCGCTAATATCTCATTATGGCAATGTTTGCAGCATTTTATCTTAGTCGGTAGCGTCGCGCTGAGTTTTGAAACCAAACATCCTATTTTCCCCATCGTATAGGCAGGAAGCGGAAACCTATTGTTGGTCTGTTCTTATTATCATTACTATTGGTTGAATATAAAAAATTTGCCATCGCGTACATGCCTGGCAGTGAGCCTCTCGCCAAGCTTCAGTTCAGGAGCTCTTCATCGTTGCCATATACGCAGTTCGCGTTCCCTCCTTAGTTAGCTGTCGAAACAACAATGTCCGCACTGCTTCCTCATCAATCCAGATCTTAATATGTAGAATTAGCCTTTGGGTCCATGCATCCTATCTCTTAGGCCCTCTAACAAATAGCGCTTCTCTTTCGCCGTGTTTACCTCTGTGGTCCTTATGGAGCTCCATACTGTACAATTGAGTGTCACTCCTATTAAGATCTTACACCTCTAACTACTGAGGCCTCCTTTATGTGTCATTGGATTTACAAAGAAACCGTCTCAGATGTTTGCGTCGGACTTTAATGAGCTTTCAATATGTTAAATTTAAGAGACACATAGTTTCATATTTATATCAGCGGAAAACGTGTTTAGGGGCGAAATCAGACCCCAAAGTTGAGATCAAAATAGGGTAGTTTTGAAGTTTCACATTCTTGCAGACCAAAAATGAGAAAAAATGCACTTGGATGATATTAGTGTGGTGAAAAGTATAATATAAAAGTATAAGAGCTTTACAAAGTCTTTATAACAACAAATCTATGGTTCCTATCTATATGATTACAATCTTTTCTTTATACCCAAGCAGCCGCTCAGGCAGAAGCCTTAATGCCGGGACATCGCGGCTGCTATGAAGATCCCAAAGAAATTTGGTTAAAACGATTTCTGAACTGCCTAAGGTTAGTAGAAATAGGAAAACCTTCCTCTTATAGATTGTTCCACAATCTCGACACCCTAGGGATATAGGAGCGGTCGTATCGGTCAACACTGGATGTACGAAGTTCGACGCGGTTAGGATGAGAGGCTAAAATCAGGCAGGTCTGTCTGGCAGGCACATCGCGTGACGGCATTATGGAAGAGAACTCTGAGGAGTAAAGCCCATTGGTGTAGCGGTAGAAGATAGCTAGATCACCGACGGTCCGCCCGGTGCGAAAGTGCCCGAAGACTGCCTGTTAGAGAAGACTCACCGATCAGTCGGACAACCCTCCTCTGGACAGCATCAAGCATAAATAATGTAGTCGGGCGGCAGCACCCTAGAGGTGTGAGCAATACTCGAAGCTAGGCCGTAACTGGCCTTATATAGGAGTGAGAAGGTTATGCGGAGAAAAGTACTTCTTAGCCCCAAGCAAATAGCGTAGCTTTTCCCAGCACCTGTCGCTATTGACGAGATGTGTTTGTGCCGGATCAAGCCCTCGGTGATCTGCACTCCGACCAGCCGAAATGAACGTCTGTTTGACAGAACTCTGCCATCCATCGAAACTGAATGAGCGCTAGATCGCTTTTTGTCATCGGCTTGTCCCTCTGAATTCCTGCATGTAGAGTGCTGACATACGCAAAGCTGTAGATTGAGGTGATCGTACAGGAAAGGAGGTCGTTGATGTGTAAGAGGAACAGTGTCGGACGCAAGACCGATCCCTGAGGAACACCCGCGTTGACGTTGTGGGATGAAGAGGAGAACTCGTCAATTACGACGGCCAGCTTGCGGCCAGGGAGAAAGTCGGCTACCCATCTGCAAAGCTTTTCTGGAAGACCATAGGATGGAAGGTTGCATAAGAGTCACAGCTGATCGAACGCTTTCGTCATAACAGGAGCAACGAAATGAGCATCACCATAAGACTGTATGAGTTTACTCCACAGTTGCATAACGTAAGCCAGGAGGTCACCTGTGGATCGCTAGTGCCGGAAATCATACTGCCTGTCGCTAATCAAGCCGTGGCGTTCGAAGCACTCCAGAAGCTTCCGCTTTATGCACCTCTCCATCATCTTACTGATAACAGAAAGCATAGCTATAGGTCTGTAGTTGTGGGGGTCGATCTTAGATCCTTTGTTTGGGATGGGTTGGATGTGAGCAAATTTCCAGTTTTCTGGGTAGATGCCGGATTCATAAGATATCTGGAAGAGACGCGAAAGAACTGGAGCAAGCTCCGCTACACACCTCTTCAGTTCAATCGCAGGAATCAAGTCCCGACTAGAAGCTTTGTTGATGTCGAGCGACAAGAGCACCCATCTTAAGGTCCTATGCCTGAATATTACTTCCCGCATAGTGTAGGGAACCTTTTGAATCGACGTCACTTGGGAGTCGGGGGGGACGTCCTTGGTGGAGTTGACAGCAAAGATCTTGGCAAGCATTTCCGCCTTGGCCTTTGAGTCGGTTACATCGTTCCATCCTGACACTTAAGAGGTGGAAGGCTACTGTGTGAGAAGTTCTGAGTCCAGAAAGACCGACTGCTATATTGCGCTGCAACATTACTCTCTGCCTAACTTTTATATCATGCTGGTCTTTGGCATTGCGAACCGCCTCGTTATGTTTGCTTCTGGGCTCGACATCGGCTTGTCTGTTCTCTACAGTGGGGTTTTGTAAGAAGGTATTCCTCCATCCCTAAGCGGACAATTTCGGTTATCGAAGTACAGAAACATCTCTGGAGCAGGAAAGACTGCTGCGGACAAAAACCTTTCCCTGATTAGAGAGCACCTTGTAATTTGGGATGCTAAGATGGTTAATCGGTGCAGACTCCGGCAAGAAAAGTATGGCGGGACGATTGGGTTGCAAGTAGCGATGAATAGCATCAATGTTGCTGTTAATTCCGCTGATGTTCGTGAAATAAATTTTATCTTAGATGTTCTTCCCTGGAGTCCTCCCTCCACCCGGACATTCCGAGAGTGGACTGCGTTTACTTCCGGAATTCTTAGTACTCGACTGATCTATCATGAATTTCTTTGTTGGGGAAGACAACCGATAGGCGTAGGTTAGGTGAGGAAACTTGTGGATGTTTATAAGACATACTGGGAAAAGCTAGCGGTTGGTACCGGTCGACTGGTCCTTGTCTACAACCTTCTTTCTACATGTTAATGATGTTAAATAGACCTAAAGTGTTGTACCGCCACCCGGCAGGAGATATTCCTTAACGCATGTTCAATCACTTGAACGGGAAAAAGATGTATACTGGATACAACTTTCGGAACCATTTGCTACGGCCCCGCTCAGTAGTGGATGAAATTTTATATGTAAATTTGAAAAATAGAGATAAAACTTTGAAGATACGGGTGTTTGCGTTTTTCAAAGATATGAAGTTTCAAATAGGTATTACACATATTAAATCACTTTTTCTGGTCCATATTTACACATTTGTCCTCTTATTATTTAACAATTCAATAAATGACGTCATACTAAACTTTTCGAGTTTTCGGAAGAAAAACATTTTCAAACCAAATTTCAAAATGGTATGAAAAAATAGTAAATGTGGCTTTTCATTACTGAAAACAAATATTAAAACATGCAATTAGAGAACATTTTATCCCCGAAGTCACTTTTTCGGATTTTGACACAGATATCTAGACACTGTCTGCTTTGAAAAGCTTTGATTTTACTGTTGATTCGAACGGTTCTTTCAAAACCAAAAAAGGTTATATAATTGGTTGTATTGTATAACCATGAGTTATGGACGAAGCAGTAGATTCTTTGCTATATAAATTTTGTGACCATCAACCATTATAAGTTTTACCCCAATATTATGACTCCAAATGGATCGTTTATTATTTTTCATGACGAATCGTCTCCATCTGCTACCATTTGGTTCCATTCGTTTATCACAACTGTAAGTATGTTAAATTTCAAAATTACCCTGTTTCGGTCCCAACTTTGAAGGTCAATTTCACATGTTAAACACAATTTTCTGCCGATATAAAAAATACGTGTCTCTTAGATTTTGACGAAGAATGACATATTGAAAGCTCATCAAAATTGGGTGCAGTCACCTAAGACGGTCTGTCTCAAGTAAAGTATTACCACTTCCTTTTTGGGGTTGTTCATTCGGTGTTAGTATTATTTCATCTATTATGCGAAAACAGATGGGCTAGAAATGAACAAAGAGAAAATGAAGTATATATTAATAAAGAGCGGCACCAAATTAAAAGGTCATATCGATCGGAACATATATAGATTCAAAAACACAGAGAACTTCATTTACTTAGGAGTGACCATTAAGAACAGAATTGAAGAAGCAGTGGACATAAATAGAAGAATAAGTAGTAGTAGACGTGCAGGACTGCTTATAAGAATGTTGAGGTCGACATTGGTTTCCAGAAGAGCAAAGGAAAAGCTATACAAAATAGTGATTAGGTCAGTAACTATGTAGAGTTTTGATCTATGGGTGATGAACAAATCGGGAGAAAGAAAGTTGGAAATCTGGGAAAGAAAAATTCTACGAAGAATGGGTGGGGGAAACAGAATTGCAGAAGTTTGGGTAAATAGAGCACACGAGGAAGTCAAGACGCTCTCGTACAATAGCCCTCCAATGATTGAACAAGCGAAATCACGAAGTATTAGAAGGCTGGGACACGTAGAGAGAATTCCGGATACGAGGGTGATGAAGTCCTGAAAGGACGGGTAACAAGAAAAAGGCGGATAGGGTGTCCTAGGACAAAATGGTTATTGGCAGGAAGTTGAGTGTGAGGAATTGGACAGGCATAAGTAGGGAAAAGTCACCCAACAAGCCCTAGCCATGTAAGGATTGTAGTGCTGATCATATATACGAAAACACACAACTAAGTCAAAATAAGTTAACCCTTTCCACACCTGAATTAAATCCCAACTGAATTTCGCCGCTCTAAGTCTTTCAGAATCTCCATTGTCTGGAGACTAACATTAAAATGTTCTATTAAGATGAGAGCCGCCAAGCGTACCAGTTACCGGCGGCGGGAGCCAGCGCAACGTCGATACTCAGACCAAATTAACACGGAAACAAAACAGTTGGTAATGAAGCATCTGCCTTCTGTTCGGAGAAACAAGCTGCAGATGAGTACGTGCGCGCAAACACAATGGGGATGTGAACTCCTGAAGCGTAAAGTGTTCGGCTAACGTACTTAGAGGCTAATTGGAACAGATATTTGCCTTTCAGCTGCCAACGAGCGGAATACTTAACACTGTTTCGAAGTATAATTGAAAATATTACTGTTAATCATTATTATGCAAAATCATCAATTAATTTACAGCAATTTGAGCATAACATTTGAAAAATGTCAAGCTGCATATTTCTCTCAAACTATGAAACGTTCTCCACAATAAGCAGTGCAGATGACTGCAAGAACTGGTTGCCTACATAGTTCGCTCTATGAATCCGCGATTTGCTATAAAATAGAAAAAGCAAACACTTTTCATTATTTTGCGTTGTTAAGGCCCGATTTTACTTAGCCGGGCGCAAAAAAGCATGTAGGCCACAAACTCAACCAGTGAGTAGGCGTCTTTAAGTAATGGACCTAATGAATATGGTCGATTTCTTAAAAAATATTTCTCAAACTAGAGAAAAATCATATGATTCTTGTCATCCCCATATTAAATCGAGAAGTACGTCATAAATCTTCATTTAGCTACAAAAACTGATTTTTTGATCATATAATGCACCAATGAAAAATAAGCATTTGCACCATACTCGTCTCACTGTTGCTGTACAAAATTCTGCTTGATAAATGCTTTGAGGATATAGATAAAATTACAGAACGCTTTTTCCTTAACAAACACCGAGTAAATATTCAATTTACTTGATTACCGTGCGAAAGCCTTTCCTTAAGCCAGCACTGTTAACAGGGGGCTCTCGCTCCCTCTACTGGGCACTAGGTAGACTACTTCTAGCCTTGCCACCGTCACCGTAGCGCAGCGTCGTCGTGTATTCGTCCTTTTTTTTTAATCCAACTACCACGAAGGCCTAAGGCCTAAGCACCTATTGGGTACCGTGGGGCTATAGGGGGATACATGGGAAAGGGGGAACGCCACACGGACTCTGGCGAGGGAACACGTGTGCGTGCAACATGCACACATTCTGGCCCCGCCTACGAGATCCGCCGGGTGGTACCTCCGCGTTCGACAGTCAGAGACCGTCTACCACCTACGGACAATCACAACATCCATAGCCAAGAGAAAAATTTCTCCTGGGACGGGACTCGAACCCGCACAGCGCACGGCGGCTGATCAGGAGACCGAAGAGTCTAGTACTGCGGCCACCGCTGCTGCCTATATGTCCTAGCTAAATAATAAATAAATCGTATAATTTTTCTCTAGTTTGAAAGACATTTTACAAGAAATCGATCAAATTCACTAGACCCATGACTTCAAAGACGCCTCCCTATTAGTGGAATCTTTGTTAAGGCGCAAATTTTTATTTCTTTTAGTCGATAGTAAAATCAGGTCTTGCTAACGTTTAGTATGAAAAACCAAACCACCCAAAATTTATCATCAAACTACGGCCAGCAAAGAAAAATCCTTCAGATATCGATGACAGCCTGTGATGCCAACTGTTACAGCCTACTGTGCAATGCAAATGTAAATTCTTTCTTTGGGCACTACTTAATGACGCGTTAAGGTACAGGCACATTGACGAGAAGGGAAGCGATTCGTGTTGCGCGGAAATGCCAATCAATAGCTTACAATATTGAAGTCAGAAAGAGACAGCCGCATGCCAAGCAATATCGAGTGACACTAACGCGGGGCATGAATCGCTTCCTTTCTCCTTAATGTGTGTGTGTACCTTTTTGTTCCTTCAAAATCATTCATCACACGGCACACAATCCTCAAGGATCGCTTATAAATGTGACCTGTAGTGTTGACGACTTGTGTATGATGGCGAACGACTTGTTACCGTTCTCTGAAGTGGACTCACTTTCAGTGTTGCCAGAAGGCGTAGGAGCCTTTCTGTATCTTCGACCGTAAGGGTCGGATGTATCGTCGATGACACCCTATGTTTCAGTAGTCACAACACACGTTATTGCACGCTTCTTGCGCTTCTCTCTCGTACGCATGACGTCAGTGGTATTTGGTTTTCAGTGTATTTCTCATCCTGGCGGTTATCGATTATCTGTATTCTTATACCTTGACGAATCGACTTCGTAATTTTGAGCAACCCACAGCACGACATTAGAAACAGCAGGGAGTACCTAGTGCGGAAGCTTTAAATTTGCGGCCGATTCATTTTGGGTTGAGAAATCGTCCTATCGCGTGACACCACCACAAAAACCATACAAATGATTTAGGGAGAAAGGTACTGAATCGGAAAAGCCGTAGGTCTTGGTCACACTAGGACTTGTGTTAATAGAGCAATTACGAACATGATCAGATCGTTTTTAACATCCAATTATGAGATCGCCCAGATTAGGGTCGCCAGAGGGGAAAAACTTTTAAATATCTTACGTTTCATTAAAAAAATGATGGCCAATGCTGTTTTTGCACATGTGATATGCATTTGGATGACGGTGATTCTTAGAATATGAACATTTTTCGAAGAAGATAGTGAAGGAATAAATTATTTTTGTTGATTTACATCCCAAATATGATAGTACTTATTGCTATTATGATTTGCAACATAAAAATGATAAATAGATCAATTATTATTTTTGTATTTATTTATGCCAATTGCTGTACTGAAACAGAACGCTACCAAATAGATGTCATGCGATGTGAACTAGTAGGTACTGCTACTACTAGTATAGAACCCGGCGATATGTTGCTACATGACCTCCTAGGTTGTATTTTTTCCAGGTGAATGGCTTGATTTTGGAAATGGAAATGCTGGACAAACGAAGGGACTTACCAGAAAGATAGTGTAAAATTATACAGATTAAATATGTTTGTAAGCGATAAAGAGTAGATGAGGTAAACACTTGCATATGGATACCAACAAGACATAGTCTCACTCTCTCCAGAGGTGGAAGTCTCACCGTCGACCATCAGTCTTTCCTCTTAAGACGAAGTTAACTTTGTAATGGGAGTTCAATGATACGAAGAACCCAGGAAGGTATTATTTTGCCGCAAATTGATACATTAACAAATGTCAACAACTGTCAAATTTGAGATCATTCCCAGGGATGAGATGCACGCCCAATTTCTCTCAGTGATACTTCTTCCCCGTATTCAAGAATAGAGGACCTGGGTGTCCAGACTCACAATTTCATTAAAATGCTGAATATGTGCTTAAATCCAAGAAGTTCCTCCTACTTTTCAACACCTCAGGAAGAACTCTTCCTCATCGGATCGCTATGGCAACGTGACCAGAATCCGTAGTCAAACCACCGATTGAAATATATGACAGTCCTTTGACGTGGCGACTAGTGGGAACGGAGGCCAAAATCGATATTTCAATATGCCTATCTTTACCACTTAGGCCGTTTCCTGATTTGTCGGCATACGCGGTACCGAAAACTTACCGAACGCCTATATTTCAATGAGTCCTTTTTGATTAGGACGGATTGTGCGGTAGCGGGGAGGGATCCGTTCGGTTTACCGCGTCTCGGCACGCTCGTCCAGGCGGCGCTCGGCATTCACCGCAAGTATACGAACATGTACTGCAAAATGGCGAAAATACATTTAACTTTAGCACTGGAAATTGAAATGCATCATGTGTTGTTTAATTATTGGATTCAAAAGCTGTTGATGGGTTTGTTTTCACATTCTATACATAGATAAAAAATTTGTATCATCATATGAAAGTTCTTTTGCTGCAATAAACAGTTGACAGTTGGTATTATTTCCGATGTAAGGATGATGCCAATAAGGTTTTCTTTATTTACGTATACGGAGATACAAATAACACGCCAAAATATCATCA